AAAAATCGATACACAATCTCCATAGTCCATTGCTCTTTTTAACAAGAACAGGATTTGAGACCCATGTCGGGTATTTGACTTCCTTGATGAATTTGTTGTCGATGAGTTTTTTGACTTCTTCTTCCAACGCCTTCTGGCGATCCGGCCCCAGTTTCCTTCTCTTTTGCACAACAGGCCGGATTGTTCGATCGAGGTTTAGTTTGTGGCTAGCGACACCGGGGTCGATGCCCTTCATATCCTCGTGTTTCCAAGCAAAAACATCAGAATTGAGTTTGAGAAACGAGATAAGTTCTGACCGAAGTGGTTCTTGGAGATGACTTCCAATACGCAATGATTTGTGGAACACTGGTTCATCGATATAGATCAATTCTACGTCTTCTCCAGGTTCGGCTCGATCACTTCGGCTTTTTTCTTTGAACAAAGCTCTGGGGTCCAACTCGTCCTCTTCAAGTAGTGGCTCCTTCCCAGGCCGGCGACCTCGGTCTTCGGTTAAAGGATCCGAGGTGGAAGGATCGCCGATGTGGTTGTTTGGTTCTTCGGTCACCGCGTCGTCTGAAGCGTGTTGCTGCGGGGAGGCTTCATTAGTACCCATTGAAGTTGAATGAACTCCATTGGATGGGATAAAAGTAACAAGTTCTCGAGCTTCTCTTTGGTCTCCGAAGTGGGTTCCCTCTCCTCGGGTTGTCGGGAAATTTAATGCATAGTGAAAGATAGAAACTGCAGCTCGAAGTTTGTACAAGGCCGTTCTGCCAATGATGGCGTTGTACTCATTATTAATAACCATAACCTTGAAAGTTTCCATGACGAGTTTGGTGACATTCTCCGAAGTGCCGAATCTGACAGGTAAAGTGATCTCGCCGATAGGCTTTGAAATACTACCGTTGAACCCTTGTATTTGATCGTTGCAAGGTCAAATTTCGGCGGGATCAAGGCCCATTTTGTCAAAAGCTTTTAACATCAAAATGCTCGAATAGGCCCCAGTATCCACCATGACGCGATGAACTGGAATTCCGCATATAGGGACGGTGATAACAAGCGCATCGGAATGAGGGTGTGCGAAGTGATTAGCATCTTCCATATTGAAGGTTATGGGACAGTTCCGATTGTTGAGGATATCTCTCAAATCGGTGGTGTAGATCTGTTTGCTAGAGTTGTGCGCTTGTCGGGCATATGCCTTGACCTGTCGACGGGATAATGTACTCCGGGGGTTATTGGTATTGACCCGGTGGACAGTGATTTGCATCGGTACAGGAGATCGGTCTCGTTTACGTCCTCGGGAAGTTTCAGCAGAGTTAGAATCGGATGTCTCCAAGGTGAACATAAATACTTATTTGTCTCCTTGTCGAATGCGTTTTGGCATGGCACCTCGGTCCTCCTCATCGTCTTCATCAAAGGGTTCGATCTGGCGTCCAGGACCTCGCCTCTGGGGATCAGTATTACGATAAAATTTTCTAAGCTGCGGATGGCCAATCAAACGCAACAATGTGGCTAACAAACTCAAACACTCGTCCGTGTTGTGCCCTGGCGACTTATGATAATCACAATATCGGGATTTGTCCAGTTTTTCTTCGGGCATCCGAAGTGGTTTGGGATCTGGTAAGATGCCCTTCCCCTTGATTTCTTCATATATGGTGGCTGCCCCTGCAGAATACACAGTTTGATAACCGGATTTCACGTCGGTAGCATATTGTTTGCGGGCAGCTTGAACTTCAGGATCATTGGGGTCTCCTCGGGGAGGTCCCCTGAATTGAGTCTTACTTTGCTTGTCAAAAAATTTATTCTTCCTTTTTTCGTCGGTTCCCGCTTTAGAAGACTTCGGGTTAAAGTTAAAATCGGGAACCGACATGGCTTCTTCCGCTATGATGTGCTGCTGGGCTCGAGCGAGAAATTCTTGAAAAGTGTTCGGTTTATTTTGGCATAGTGTCCAGCGGAAAATCGAATTCGGTTTCAATCCAGCAATAGCCATGACAAGCAAAGTTTCAGGATGACAAGGTTCCATATTCTGAACTCGGTCATTGAACCGGGCAATATAATCCTTGACACTTTCATCATCTTTTTGAGTGATATTCGCAAGAGATTCTTTTGGGATAAGGCATACTTGAGCCCCGATGAAATGAGATCCGAAAGCCGACCTCAGTTGTTGCCACTTCCAAATTGAATGAGGAGGGAGAGAATGGTACCATTTTTGGGCCCGAGGCCCCAGTGTAAGTGAAAACATACGACACCGAAGTGCGTCTGAGGCCCCATGCAGATCCATCCATGAAGTATAATGACCGAGGTGCGAGTCAGGGTCAGATGTTCCATCATATAGCCCGATCTGGGGGACCTTGACTTTTCCAGGTACCGGTTCCGAAGTGAGCTCCGGAGTAAGGGGAGAATCGGCTTCCAAATACACTTGCGCCGAAGTGGAGGCCCGCCGAGGTGGATCTTCAGGCGCACGTTGCCGACTTTCCAATTCGGCTATTCTTCGCCGCAGTGTTTCAAGTTCGGATGACTCTTGACGAGCCCGATTTCGTTCAATATGTTGTCGAAGGTCAGTCTGTGCCGGGTTGGAGGGATTTCGGCGCTGTGCATGAGGCGGTGATCGTCGTGAATGACCCGACTGGCTTTCGGCAGTTTCTTCTTGAGGAAGTATCGGAGGATTGCGCCCAGCGTCGGTGCGACGCGTATTTTGCTCCGGAGGTGGTTGCGACATTCGATCACGAGGTTGAGATGTCGCATGAGATGTTGTCCTTCCGCCGTCTTGTCGCGCCGGTGGATTCTGTCGGTTTGTAGGAGTCGTGGGAATGATGGAGTGTCCCGGAGCAGTCGTTGATGTTCCCGGCATCGTTTGGGCCATTAGAGCGGCAAAACCACGCGCAAACTCCGGATTTTGAAACAGAATAGCATAATCCGGTACAGGTGGGACCACGGCTTGTCGTCTGGCAGATTGCGCGGCGCTACGACTGTGGCCGTCTCGTGAGGTGTGACCACGATGATCTGAGTGAGACATGGTGGATATGGCTGGTGTGAATCGTCACTTGGAAAAACGGAGATTGACCTCAAATCACTTATGTGGCCCTCCTTCTAGCGCCAAACTGTTGTTATGTGATTTCTAACAACGATGTAACAAGTGATTAAGATGATAATTATGAACGGTTTGGACGTAAAGCATGTAGAAATAACTCAATAATGGCCTCGGTCCGAGGTGAACCGAGGTGAAGAGCCGTGATGGGCTTTTACGTGTTGCATAATGATGGTTTTTTTTTTAGTTCGGAGAGAGATCCCCCCCTACAAATGTCATGGGCTCACTATTTATAGTAACTTTTTCAATATACATCTTGGGATTCGGGTATTACTTTTCGCATAAAGTAATCTTTTGGTGGGCGGTTTGAAGCGCAGTGGCCCCCACATGAATGATGACGATCCTCGTAGAGTGTGATAGGAGTGTAGGCGCCTTGTCACCTACTTAAGGAGGTGACGACCTCGGTTTAAGTAGACCTCGGTAAGTATTGATTACTTCGGTCTTCGGTAGTTCGAACCGGTTCATTGCCTGGACCGATGTGGTTGTAAAATCACGTCGGTTAAATGGTCATTTTCTCTTAACATGATGTTTGAAACTTCTTAATGGTGTTTTGCCGAGTCGAATGATAACAATACTAATAACAAATACTCTATAATATATTAGTTGGTAAAATAGGCAATAAATGAGAATTTGTGTGATAACAAAATATAACAATTGACTTGTTAATTGTTATCTATTGACCTTTGCTTCATTTTCAAAGGATTTATCCTTTACCAATTGTGATTAACAAAACAATAGCAAATACATCAAATATGTGATATATATTATGCACCAACATTTTTTCGATCACAAAGCTAACAAAATTACTCAAAAACAAAAGAAATTCACTACAAAATAAGCCAAAATACTGCTTCAAGTTCCAACAGAAAACTTTACCAAAAAAGAAGAAAAAGGTATGGATAAAATTATTCAATTACATTCACACCCCTCCTCCAAAGTCTGCCCCTCCAAAGTCGAAGCTTCCACCATCCAACTCGACCCCACCACCGGCCACCGGTTCCTGGTTTCCGGCCAAGTTTCCATTTCAACCAGAGTAATTGCCGCCGCCACTGCCGGAGAACCCATTGCCACCACCTGAGGAGTAGTCGCCACTGCCGCCGGAGAACACATTGCCGCCACCTGAGGAGAAGTTGCCACTGCCGCCGGAGAACACATTGCTGCCACCTGAGGAGTAGTCGCCACTCCCGCCGGAGAACCCATTGCCGCCACCGGAGGAGTAGTTGCCCTTGCCGCCGGAGAACACATTGCCACCACCGGAGGAGTAGTCGCCACTGCCGCCCGAGAACACATTGCCGCCACCTGAGGAGTAGTCGCCACTGCCGTCGGAGAACCCATTGCCGCCACCGGAGGAGTAGTCGCCACTCCCGCCGGAGAATACATTGCCGCCACCGGAGTAGTTGCCACTGCCGCCGGAGAACACATTGCCGCCACCGGAGTAGTCGCCATTGCCACCGGAGCCACCGTAGCCACCGCCGGAGAACCCGACATTGCCGGAGTAGCTGCCATTTCCACCACTGGAATAATTGCCGCCGGAAAAATCGCCGGAGATACCATAGCCGCCACCGCCGCCATCAGCCGCTGGGGTGTAGTTGCCGCCACCATAGCCCCCTTCACGAGGTTTTTCTTTAGCATAGTTCACCGTGATTCTACGCCCATCAAGTTCCTGATTTTCGTGATTAGATTGTTAAGTACACATTAAATCATCACACAAGTTTGGGATTATACTCTTGAGAAAGTACCATTCTTGAATAAGTTAATACTACAAAAGGTGGGGAAAAAAATGGAATCTTTCGAGATGTAGCATTTCAATCTAAAACTTTAACTACTGTTCTATAAATTTATTTTCCATCAAGGGGTAAGTTATTTCACGCAGAAAAAATAGCAAGAACAAATTACAAATTTCCACAAATGAGTTAAACATAAAACCGAAACTGCTTAAGTACCTGGCCATCAAGTCCCTGGATGGCACTAGAAGCAGCCTCGGCAGATGAGAAGGTCACAAAGCCAAATCCACGAGAACAACCAGTTTCACGATCCATAATAATTTTAACTGCAAATAGTCAAATAGGAACACGTAAATATTGAACGGTTGCCATCTATAACACTCTTTAACAATTGACTGTTCAGATGCAGAACTGGAGAAGTGATAATGAAGTTATTTAGAAAAGAATCTATCTAAAAACATATATCGCCATATTACAAAGTACAGGAATACCGATATTTCTTATTTACTCAACACTCACTCGTAAAGTATCGGAGCCAATTTCATTTTCACCGGATTTGTATATTTCTTACGAAGGAAAAAAAAAAAAAAAAAAA